TTGCGGGTTTGATGGACCAATTCACGTGCGATTACTCGCTTATTATTCGAGGAAAATTTGATTGATTTTCGAAAATCCAAACGTTTCATGTATACCTCCGGGAATAACGTTTTCCCGGTCATCAAAAGTGGATTTTTATTCCCATCGAGTATAACGGATCCTAACTGTTATCCAGTAAATATTTTCAGCCATTCACCCCGACCTGTTTAACACGTTCATCCCATTTTAGTTACTGATATTCAATGATGTAACCTTAATCATACATTTACAATCAATCCGAATATATTAACAGAATGCCGGTGCGTATGTGCACGAAAAATAAACTTCAAACAGATACTCCGTACCATTTACAATTACTCTCGTCATGGGGTGGAAAAGAATCGATTGTCACTTCAACCAACTCGTTAACCTTACGTGCGCGCCGTCTTTTCCTGTACAAATGCGCAAATCGACGCAAATCGATGGTAATTCGCCGGTTCCAATTATCACCATGTAGTTTTTGATAAAAAGTTGATTAAGTAGACCACATTATTTTCCAGGCTTCTAGTCGCCATTACCTGATCCACACTTTGCAATGTGATTCGAATGAGTGCTGGGTCAAAGATTGAGGGTATTCTCTTAACAATTGTTTGTGCAATTTTCATGAAGTTTGAGTGCGTTTTACTGAGTAAAACACAAAGTATTCAAAGGGGAAAATGACAGCACCTACACTATTAGCCGAGCACACGGAGAAAAGTCAACGTATTTTAATTCAACAAATTCACACGCAGTAGGTGAGGATTTCGTGTTATTTCGTTGTCCATAGTTCTCTGGGGACATTTGGTTCCTCCGAGAATTGTGATAAATGTACTGTGCACGGCGTAGCGCTGACGTGTAGTATGCTGGAAAAGCATTAAGCAGTTATCGGGTCGGATTAATACTAGCATGTAGTGCCCGGGTTTGAACCCTGGTGAATTTGATGGATGCGAACAAGTGAGAATGCAATAACAATTCGGTGCTTCTGATAATTTCACCGACAAATGCCATAGGTAACATTTATGCCAAATTCATTTTTCACGATTGGAATAAAACAAAGTCTCTTTATGAGAATAGTTTGAACAAACTGTTTACATGAATGCGAACAAATTAAGAAAATAGTTCGCCTTGATTTCGGTTATATACAAAATTCTCACGAAATATGACGTCAAATTTGCCAAGTTTGATGTGTATGTTTATCGGTCGGACAACAGGATCTATCGATTTTCTCTGTCGTGTGAGCTAACAGGACTAAAAAAGCCATCCCGGATTCTCGTTTGCTAATTTCAAGTCTCAAAGCTCACGTCAAAACCGCGCGGTAACGCAAACACGTTGTGCCATTTCATTCGGTCGTTTAACTGGACACGCATGAAATCCTGCACATTTATCTTCATTCGATCATGACTTGACAGGAACAACAATCTCAGCATGTATGCAAATGGTCTGATTAGTTTTGACCCCCTATCCCCGTTCGGTCTCGTTCCGCGTGTGCAAGCGCACGAGCGAACGGAAGAGGAACTTGTTACCACAGAAGCTAAAAGCTAGCTTGTCGCGGACCATTTGTGGCGATTTAATGTTTTTTTTTTCTATTTTGGACAACGATGAAGCGCATACGATCTAGCTTTGGGATCGTGTGTACTCTGAGCGGATCCATTATTTCCGATCAAATCCAAACTGATGGAATTTTTCCAGCTTGCTGTTTTCATGCTACATTAGTTGGCCTTGATGATGGTGTTATTGATTGGGATTTATTCAAACTATATTTTTTTGTGTATTATTCCTTGGGTTCACAGAATAAATAGTCAGAACGCGGATGTTCCTTTAGGGTATTTTTAGCTCTATATGTATGATCGGAGACTGTGCCCGGTATAGTTACGCCCCGATATCTGAGGTTTCGACTGATCAACTAATCCGAGCTCGATCGTTTTAAAAGGCCAGCAAATCAATAATAAACCATTCATGTCTGGGACGAATTTGGTGTGTCTGCTCTGTTGTTTATCGGCAAATAACGGATTATTCATATGAACGGCCACATGAAAACGTGATTTCAAGGGTCACGGTGGTTGGAAAGGTTTCTAAAATAGAGGATTACACACAGGTAATTCCTGTGAGCATGAGAGGTGCCTACGTTTGGCGACAATCATTCCAGAGCGCTTCAGCAGCCAAGCATTCTCAGCCCCGTAGATTACCTGGGAAGTATCTTCTCTATCAAAGTCAACAGTTATCCAAAATTTAAACGTGTAAGCAGTGAAACCCAAGTTAGAAAAGGGATCATTCAGCCTATTCCATATGTTATCGAAATAGGGATTGATAAACCTGTTTCTTCGACGTGACATGGAGTTTAGTTTTGTCAACGTAAAAGGTCAGGTTTTGAAATAAGTCGACAAATGCGGGTGCCGCAACACTGCGGCGACCGAGAGAAAGTGTTCCGGATCATATACGTGAGGTGATGGTGCTCGTCTACTTAGGCTTGTCAAGGGGGTGGCACCCAATCCTTGAAACGCCTTCCCGCAGCTAGTGCCAAAGAATTTTATATTGCTTTTTTCAGGCTCTGTTAGATAACCTAGCGATATAGGAACATTTGCTACAGTTTTTATGCGGTCATGTAGATAAAAAATGGCGTTTCTGCACGAGGGATGCAGTGGGATTGTCGGGACATAAATGATACATTCGTCTGCATTTTTTAATGGATTCAGAGAGCAGATCGCAGATGGGATTGTGGTTGTGCATTGCTGATGAGCTTTAGGGAGATTGAAATTAGAATCTAATGATTCTTAGGGTGTAGTTGATAGGAGTTGTGTTGTTGATTACGCATGAAGCTGACTTCTGAAGGCCAGACAGTTCGAATCAAAATTTCCCACCGTCAAACATGACCGTTTCAGAAAAGTAAAAGGAAGAAGCAGAAGTTCGAGCTATTTTTCTGGATGATAAACGCAGTTTTCTTCCACTGGGATGATACGGAGTCTGACATTTCCAACTCATAATTTGCGAGATTCGATTATTATCTGTGGCTCAATGGAATTTGTCGTTTGAATAAAGGTTTATTCTTAAGCCGTTTATAAATTACATAGCCTACACTAAAGGAATTCCCACCGTTAGATACATCACTCACGAGTAAGAGTTTGGCACGGTCAACTTACTTTTGTCATCTGATTTCTTTAACTAGCTAATGGTATCAGGGTCATTAGACGGCGGAAAAAATCGGGCTTGATCGACTACGGGTCGTGGAAATTGGATTGACTGAACTAAACTGTTTTGAGGGCAGAGGTCAGGGATCCACTTTCATATCCCGATCGTCTCAGCTCTTGCTAGAGAGCGCCATCTGAACACATCTGCATTGGGAAAAAGATTACGACACTGCAAATGGGCAAGGTTCAATCGCTGGCCATCTGCCACAGACTGTTCACCAAGCCGACCGTGGGACGTCGTTTCGGGTTGGTTATACAACCCCAAATGGACGGATGCTAAGCATAACAGAGGCCACAGCGATCAAGCGCTGAAGGCTCCTTCTGTGTCAGCAGGTCTATATCAAACTGGTATTGCTCTGTTGTATAATGAATTCGTACAATGACAGAACCTCCGCACCTGTGATATATAGGAACTACTTTGTTTTCTGTATTAGGCAACAGTTAATATGCAGCGATGTTATTCCGGAATCAAATTATGCTCGCTTGCAATGTTGTGCTCTTTGCCTAAATTTATTTCGGGAAATAATTTTTTTATTTCTCACACACTACCCCTGCATTTGTTGTGGGATCACATTAGACGGCTTTAAGAGTGATGTTCGGATATGATTGATGTCCGGTAGAGCGTGCGCGTACAAAGCGTAGGCGGCGTCCATGCGTGGGTTCGAATCCAACCCGGGCTACTGAACTTTTCACAAACGACATAACAAATAGATGTATACCTTAATTTGGACCCCGTAAAGTGGATGAAATTTCCGTCATAACAATTTAAATTATCGTGTTCAGATTTTACCAATTTAAAGAGTTTGCATCAAAACAATCTCTGGAGATGTGCAGTAGTAACGCGGGGACTTCCCGGTATTCATCCGAAGTCAACCAAGTCACGTTCATCTGGAATCATTCGTAGACGCTTCTCATTGTTTTAGAGCAACGAAAACCCCATGGTTTGGTTTATTCTTTATTTTATTCAGTATGAGTTAGTTTCATTTTGAATAGCAAATGCAATATGGAATTTTTGAGAAACTGGATCCAAGTGGATTAAGCCTCGAGCGGGCGAGCGAGCGAGCGAGCGCGTGATCTGGTGATTGATTGACTGATTGGTTGATTAATTGGTTGACTTTAACGATCAGTACAGATGTGGAAGAACACAATTCGGTTTTGGAAAAAATGGTATACGCGTGTAAATGCAATCAAAATGAGAATATATCTTATTGGCATCCAAAATTCATCCTGGATTATATAGGTAGACATAGAAACAAGATGACAGTGTTTGGGTAGTGACGGGGGTGGATGAAAGAGAACACGATTCTTATAACCAGTTAATTCGGCAATTTTTGTGAGATAATAATCAGATTGTCTGAATACGGTAAAGTGGGTTGCCCGCTAACGAACAAATGAAGCTTATTGCATATGAGAAGACCGGTTGGAAACATACACAACCAAATCTGAACAATGTGACGCGGTCTGAGATAGGCGGACAAGAGAGTACATGTAACTGGAAGCAAACAAGGTGGTGCATCATATTCATGATTGTCTCTTTGTTTTTTTGTGGACATGGGCTTGGTACATTTTTTTCTTGGACTGATTTAAATCCCTGCAGTAAGGATAAACACAGGGAAATAACCGACAAGGCGGAAAGCAATGGGTTTGATGCAATGTTTCTTCGATTTACGCACACTTCATTCCGTGAGGACACAGCTTAGATAACAGCACAATGAGAACTAAATCCTGAAGTGAAGTGGCGTGATTAGGGTGGAGTAGAGTGGAGTGCGGTAAACAAGGTGTACAACACGAAGTGTCTCAGGTACCGATTCCTAAACGGTGATTGATTACACGAATCACGTCATGAATGGTCGCTATGATAACGGCGTAGTAGAAAAAAGCCAGAACCGCCCATGTGACACACAACAATAATCCGATCACACAGGCTGTAATGACCAGATGGCGCGCGATATCGCTTTTCCGTTGATAGCGCTCCACATCACGAGCTCGATAGTCCGTATAGGCACACATGGAATAGATCAGAGCGGGAAGAGAACACCATAAGGTGATCGGGCAGCACAAAATGGCAAATAGACTGCACACGGCGGGACATTTGTCAAAAGAAAGCCGTTGTTTCGGTAGACCACGAATAATGGTAGCTGTCCCGTTACCAGGAGCGCTGGGTAAAAGTAGCTTTTGTTGTTCTTGTTGATGGTGCTGCTGCTGTTGTTGTTGTTGTTGCAGCAACTGATGGTAGTGCTGTTCTTGTGAATGGGGCTGGTGTTGTGCGGGAACAAAGTTGGGACTGTAAGCTTGCTGTGGTTGATTCATATTGTAATTTGTATAAGGGAGATATTCGACGGGAAGCATTGGTCCCCCTTGTTGTTGTGTGGACATATTGTATTGGTAGATCGGGCTCATACCCATATAGCCCATTTGATCTGCACGTTCAGCACTGTATTCATCCAGCGGATGACCGCTGTCTATCGGGGCTTGGAGCCCAACAAGACTGCCCTGAGCGTCATAGATAGGTGTGGTATTGAAAGCGGCACCCGGAATTCCACCACCTGAACCAGCATTGGTCCCACCGACACCACCACCCCCACTCATTGTGTCGCTATGTGACAACGAACTGCGTGCATCCACACCAACTCGTTGTTGTTGTTGTTGCTGCTGCTGCTGCTGTTGTTGTTGTTGGTGTTTGTGGAGGTGCTGAGCTGTCTGTTGTTGATCCATTGATACTGGGGAATGCATATTTCGATCCAGTGCTGGGTCACCGGTAGAGGCTGGAGTGGAAGCTTGAGGTCGTTGAGAATTGCATTCTGTCTGCATCGGTTACTGGTATTAGAAAGTTCGTCTGAGAAATAATAAAATAAAACAGAAAACAAATGAATAATCATATAGATTGTGCAAAATTCACGCAAAACTTGGAACCAATAAAATGGCACTCATTTTACAGTACTCGACAGTTTGAGGGGGAAATACTATCTCTTATTTGATAACAAACCTAGTCTACACGTTCACTTAGTTTCGTTTGAAGTACTCCGTTTGCTACAATCTTCATGGATCGTAGTAACCGTTGAATTCTGCAAACCTTGAAAATCCTTAAAGATATATGAAGCACCCACTTAGCACCTTATGAACTAGAAAATAAAAACCGGATCTCAAACAGTTTTAATATCCACCAGGCACTAGGTTCATATATATCGGCACAATAAAGGACAAAATAGGCTTTCCTCTCATGCTGTTCACATACTTTGCTGGTTAGAGAGCACCATAATTTGAATTTTCTTCCAGATACACGCTGTCAAACTACCAACAAAAGCAAAATATAATATGTTAGTAGTATATCTTTCCATTTGCTGAAATTTGAGACCATAAATATCTGTTCGTTTTTCTTATCACGTATTTTTCAGTTTAGATAGAACGGAGAGTAGCTTATCATGCGAATATATCATACCAATTATCAGAAGTTCAATCAGCTTGGGAAATGAGAAATCCAAATCATAAGCAACCGATGACTAATTTCTTTTTGAAACCAGTTGTGAAACTTGTAAAAATCACATATTTTCATATAATCCAACTGTGAGAAGATTAGATCCTTGATGAGGATTTGGATCTACTCATGAACGCCGCTTATGTCTTAAAGTAAACTTCGCCTGATGTAGCACACCGGATCCAGGGAAGTCTCCACGTGACCGGTAAGTATACCTTTGTAAGTGAAGTGGATAATCAAATGCAGAATGATCAGAACGATCGTTGTGGAGTCACAGCTCAGCCGATAGGGAAGACGCTGTACAGAGTAGCAGATGATGTCCATGAGTGGGCTTGCATCTCATCGGGAATATTATTCTCTATATAATTCGGTTACATAAAAACCTTTTCAAGATGTGCCTAACAAATGCTTTGAAAAAGCACATATTCGTTTTACTGATTCTTTCATTGTCAAAATTTGCTCCGATGTGATGGAAGTGTTTGTGTGTGTTTGTTAAACGCGGAAAATTAGTTTTCCATGCTGTTTTAGGGGAACAGAAAGCCGCCACTTATGTTTTTCTTAAAGTCATCTCTTGTGATAGTAAGCAGTTTTCACAACTGATCTAAACCACAACAAAAACATTAAGTTGAAGCTTTCTGACATATGAACATTTAGTGAAGTAGCTGCTAGATCTATATGTATATATTGTTGAATTTTGAAGTGTGTTTGTACTGGCCTAAAAGTTAATTGACCAAATGCACGCGTTTGCCCACACTGGGTGTACTTATATTCATATAATATGCACTCGTTTGAGTTCAGACTGTGTGCAAACAAATCACGTTACAATAATCTTTGTAGAAAGAAAAACTTTACGTGAATTGAGTGTGGGCTGAAGCAGGTGAACTTTGTTAAGGGGTTCACAACCGTAGCCTTCGGTTAATGAAAACCAAACGCACAAGGCAGCCAAACAAAATGCGAATGAGTGTGGTTCGTACCCCTCTATTTGGTTGGTTTCGAATCAGGGATTTTGACCAACTCCCCTAGGTGAACTGCCGGTGTTCACCAACCAGGTTATAGCCCTCAGCTGTTAGCTTTCCAGCCTCTCACCTTAGTGTGAAAATACTTGCTCTACGAGAAAACAGTGAGCAGGGCTTCCTTAGCAGGCGCTATTTGAGACACTAGGCTACATAGGAGCATTTCATGAGATGCAAGATACACCCCCCGACCATACTGAGGATTTCGGAGGCCTGTATGTACTTAATACATGCACATACACAAGCATGACGCGAAAATTCAAATAAGTTATATTTGCGGAAAAGCCTCAATCACACAGGTTTGTAAAATGTACTCTGAATGATTTTGCTGCATCCGTACACGTGCATACTGTATTTTTGTGATCATTAGTATATAGGTAAGAAATTACGGGATCATAAGACGAGAAAGTCTGGGGTCAAAATCGCTCACCAAGCACATTTGTTATCAAGGTGGCTCCAGGCTGATAAGCCTGTGGTTTTCCTTCTCCATTCAAATAATAATAATAATAGTTTGAGTAGTCAGAGATCGGTGGGAAAGCTACTCATAGATTAAGGTCCGCCAAACGCACACATCACAAATTGAACTATGTTTCCAGTGAAAGATATAAAATGATCAAATTAGAAATAACGAAATCCAGAGAACCTCATTAGGTACTGATTAATCCAGAGTACAGTTTACTTTTTATGGGTTTCAGTTTTCTTGCGATGGCTTGCGTTCGTGAATCAAAATCATCGAGGAATTTGAAATATTATAAGGAAAGACATTTTGTTAGTTTTCTGTAAATTTCAAAGATGTGTACGGGACCCAGGCGATCTTTTGAATACTATTTGCCCGCCGCATACGTGAGTACCAGGTACATCTCGAATCGGAATCTAGAAAGTCGTCTATCGCATCAATAATGTATGGATCGCCCGGTGTATCGGTACAAAGTTTTCGATGCAATCAAACAGCGTTCCCTCTTTTACTCTCAGAAAGGTCTTCAGGTAGAGAGAGGATCAATGTCAGACAGTGTAATGGTATCAGCATTCTCGAAACATATTCGACTGAATGTTTACATTTTTTTTAACCAACCTTTGTTAGTTGACCTACTGAATGAATACAAGAATCGATCACCAACTAGATTAGTCTAAGGAAGGGATTGCGTAAAACTATAGAGTAAGTTATTATTTGATGTACCAATTACTAAAACCGATTAAATAAGATAATTTTTGGGTTGAGATGAAGATCACAGTGTAAACTCCTCAGTAGATCGAACGGAAAAGATTATTTTTTGCTTTGATGAATTTGTGTACATGCAATTGTTTAATATTCACTAAGCTGTAACGATAGCATTGTGCCAGATTAGGGTGGAATTCAAAATTGTGTTCAGAGAAACTTCAAATTCTGGTAGAATCTGTTGTAACAGTTGATGCATGATTGCACAACTACCTATTCAAAGCACTATGCCGAAAATTGTACTCCTGTACAATAAAAGCAAATTAATTATATTTGTATGTAAATAAAGCTGGTCAATTTATTCAAATTAAAATACCCCAATGCTTTCATTGTAAAACTGTCAGCAAGAACCGAAAAGAAAAAAACACAAATGTTTTAAGTACAATTTTACTTGTTACTCAGATCGACTGGGAACATTTTATTGTTCACTCTTAGCTCTGTTTCTAAGACAACATATCCCGACCTATGCTGCCTTGTCCCTAATTCTTTCCAGCTGCGACCGCTTTGAAAAACGTGAGGATGGAGAAGAATAAGCTCTAACTAATCGACGCGGCTTCTTCTTGTTTTCGGAAAGTGCAAAACCGAAATTAGGCAAAATGTACCATTTAAAGAAAGTGGTAGCACATTTCTGGATTTCTGGTAATTTTAACCAAACTGCACACGACCGTGGTATCTTGATAGATTTATCGGTGTCTGCCAGTGATATTTCCTTTGAAACGGGAAGAGAAACAACAAGCAACATAATGAAGCTGAATGGAATCCAGTGTTTGACAAAACCGGTGAATCCTTGCTTCGTGAACATCAAGGAAAAGGTGTTTTTCGGTCGAGCATCGATCGATCCGCCACATTTAACAGTGAACTTCGCTTTGACAAGAAAAAAGCCTTTCGCTGTGTCCACCCGAAGGGTAGGGGTGAGAGAGCGAGAATGAATGCATTCTGCTTGTTTTTATTTTTGAAGGTTCCGAACTAAGTTTATCCCACATTGTGTCTTCGATCAAAGACGAACTTAGTGCCCTTGTCAACGGCTATGCGTAAGGACCAGTAAAACATGAATGAGTGTGTTGAATGAATTTAGTCCAAAAATGTCAACCTTTTTTCGATTGACAGGGTGAATCTATTAGGCTTTTTTGTGCTAAGTTTTACTGCTCAAATGCTCTTTGTCCGCCTGCAATTATAGGTTTTACCCATGTACAACCATATAGACTGATTCTATACTAGACTTGTTAGATAATATATAATAAGTATATTTACTATATTATAGTATAGTATACTATACTATACTAAATTACACTATGCTATACTTTACTACTTACTACTACTACTTACACTATATACTTATAGTACCCTTATTTTATGAGAGCAAATGAAACGTAAAAGCAAACTAAATTAGCAAATAAACAAATAAGACGAGTATACCGTCATCTATTCATCCTTTTACAAATAATAATTACTAGTTGGTGATCTTTGAAGGATCATCTCAGATGTCTAATTTTCTTCACGCAGGACGTGTTCACAGCAGTATGGTTATCTTTGACGCCTGTCTCTATTTCTTGTGCCCCGTTACTATGCATCAAGGGACGTATATAGATTTCCCACATCGCGCCTTCTAGCGTGAATTGATTAAAAACAGTTCACTTTATACATCCGCTTTCCACACATATGACTGTACTCTTGTACGGTCTGCCTGCTCTCAACTTGCCTCGTCTAACCCCCGTCCCGTCATCACACCGCCCACCTGCTATTATCCGGCTGAGCTGTCTTTCACCAATCTATAGATATGTTCACACAGTCCAAAAAAGTAGAAAAAATGCACAGTTGCGGGGAAGGCACAGACGCAGTCGCCATCTCACACACAACGAGCCTTGTTGGGAGCAGACCATCTGTTAAGCTTCACAGTCCATAGTTGATTGACACTGTGAGTTAATGAACTTCTCACAAAATGGCGGCACTGGTCTCTCCCGGATGCCTTCAAGTCGAATTTTTGAAGAGCAACTTTTCCCACGAGGAAATGCAGTATCCGTTCAATGTCGCATTTGGAAGTTACATATATTTCACAATAAGTAGTATGTGAATGACTGGACAAAATTTCCATAGAAGCACTCGACCG